TTGGCAGGCTTAATCCACTCTAGAGGGGCTCCTTTGTCTGCAAATTCCATCCATTTATGAGCGAAGGGGGGAAAAGGTTATGACCATTTCTAGATTCTCCATTAGGATGAACTGGGGGAAATGGAGCTTTATTTTTCACACATATAATTCAGTCCTGACAATCTGAATTGGAAAGCTTCCAAGCACACTTCTAAAACAGATTGGGTTGCTTCCCAAAGCCACAGCCACAAATGGAATATTGTGGTAAGGCCTCGTATCTGCAGAGTTGGGGGGAAACCCGATGGTTTGTAGAAGAACAAAAATCTTTAGGTGGGGAAAAAAACAGAGGGAGGCATCCAAGATCAGTCATACTTGGAGACCTATTGGTTCTGTTGGGTCTCCTCTGAGTATGACTTAAGTTGGATATTACTTGGAAAGGGGAGGGATATCCCTAGATAGGCCACTGAGGATTGAGTGTGTTCTGTGACCACAGAATACATACCGTATTTTTCGCTCCATAAGACACACGTCTTTCTTCCTAAAAAGTAAGGGGAAATGTCTGTGCATCTTATGGAGTGAATGCATGGTCCTTGGAGCCAAATTGCCCAGGGGCAAAAAGCAGATCATGCTTTTTTTTTTTGAAAGAGGGAATTGGGTGTTGAAACAAAGCCGCTGATTGTTTGCTGATCAGGAGAGAGATGAGGGACGCTAGAGATAAAGGAGGCTGCCTGGGAGGGTGGAGGTAAAGACAGCAAACTTGCAAAGGGGGGAAACAGGAAGACTAAAGCAATAAGGAGAGAAATTAGAAGAAAAGGAGGAGCAGAAAACTGCTCCAGCTAAGGAAAAGACACTAAGGCAAACAAGAGGGAAGGGAGTGTTGAAAGGAAGCAGCTGATTTGTGGGATCGGGAGAGAGATAAGGGATGCTAGTGGAGGCTGCCGGGGAGAGGGGAGGTAAAAGCCCATGGATCCTTGGGATTTTTGCATTGGGTCACCCCAAATTCACCATCAGATCACATAGCATGTCCATGGCTACAGCTTGCACCAAAAACACACACATGCACTTTTGCGTGGGGCTGCAATGGTGCAAAAATGTGGTTACAAAGCATGGATCCACATGGATCCTCAGGATTTTTGCCACAGCATGAACAACAAATATCATACATCCACTGTTTCATTCAGAATATTTTTTTTCTTGTTTTCCTCCTCTAAAAACTAGGTGCGTCTTATGGTCAGGTGCGTCTTATGGAGTGAAAAATACGCTTATTGGGTGAGGGGTAGAGAACTAGAAAATGAGTGGAAGGGATGAAATGGAGTATTCTGGAGAAGAGCATGCGTGACTGACTGCTGCTGCTTCCAGACAGATGGCTCCTAGCACTGCCCAGCCGTTGTTCTTCTGCTATTAGCTACCTGTGAAATTTCAATTGACTTCTCACAATGTTATAGCTTTTCCAGATTTTTTTTTTAATGCAGCCCAAAGAGGTATAACGCTATAGCACCATAATGCCAGAATGTTGATTTCGTATTATGATATGCTATAACATTATATTACAATACTGCTAATTAAGAAATAAAAATAAGAAACCTTTCCGGTCACAGCCATTTTAACAAAACAGTGACTGGAAAGGAATAACAGCATACCATTATAGCATTACAGTGCTATACCTCTCTTTTGTTTTTGTTTTGTTTTAAAGCCAGAAAAGCATTTTAGTTGTAATTTAAAAAAAACAGATAAATGGAAAACAAAATGGTGTCATAGAATGGTGTCCTCCACAATGTTTATGATGGATGTGCGTTGAACTTAGAGAGGTTCACTTTCTCAATATATCACTGCCCTTTGGGAATGATGGAAGAGTAGTCCCAGAGGCATCTACAAACAAGGGAAATTTTGCTGCTCTTTCATTCTCCGGGGGGGGGGGGGAAAGAAAAACTTTCTGTGGCCTGAGAAAAGATGGAAGAACCAAAGGGAAAAGACAGGATGTTGTGTGGCTGTCGTAACAAATCAATCAATCAATCAATCAATCTCCTTTATTGGCATAGAGAAAGTGTCAGGAGTGTGTGCAGGAGCCGGGCCCTGTGACCAGTAGGGCTTTGCAGGACTGGGGCCTTCCTAAGTTTGTTCTGGGGAGGCAAGGCACAACCACACAGGTGAGGCCACTTGGTAACTCACTGTACCTGGTGGCAAGAGCCGGGAAGGGATATAAGGTCAGCATTTCCCTTTGGCTCTTTGCCACAGCAACACATTTCCTGCGTTGCTGCGTTTGGCTTCTTGTTTCCTGATCCTCGGACCTCAGCTTCTTGACTCCTTGCTTCTCGACCTTCAGACTCTTGACTTCATGACTCCTTGCTTCTCAGCCCTCAGACCCTTGACTTCGTGACTCCTTGCTTCTCGGCCCTCAGACCCTTGACTTCGTGACTCCTTGCTTCTCGGCCCTCAGACCCTTGACTTCGTGACTCCTTGGTTCTCGACCCTCGGACCCTTGACTTCGTGACTCCTTGGTTCTCGGCCCTCGGACCCTTGACTTCGTGACTCCTTGGTTCTCGGCCCTCAGACCCTTGACTTTGTGACTCCTTGCTTCTCGGCCCTCAGACCCTTGACTTCATGACTCCTTGCTTTTTGACCCTTGGACCCTTGACTTTGTGACTCCTTGCTTCTCAGCCCTCGGACCATTGACTTCGTGACTCCCTGCTTCCTGACCCTCGGACCCCTGGCTTCTGGACTCTTGTTCCTGCTCCCACCCCGCCATCTTGCTGTTAGGATATTTCCGTTCCACCTTAAAAGGGAGCAGGCTTTGTGAGTCAGAGTCTGCGCATGTCCTGTTCACAGGATGTTTATGTTTTCTGTTGCTTTCGTTTTCTCTCTCTGTGTCGTAGACACTAAAGCAGGCAGTCATGTTTTTCTGTGTTCTGATCAACGCTGAATAAACTTGTGACTCAATGCTCTCCTGAGTGCAACTTTTGGCTGTGCATTATCTGCTGAAAGAGTGTGCATGAGCTCTGGAATGTGGCAAGCTATCTCTAGAAACTCATGTCACTAATTGCTGATACTGCGTGACTATGGGAGATCGATGGATCGTTCGGCATCCGGCTTGGGGGCCATGATGGACTTTGTCTCCCTGGCAGTATCCCAACACTTGCCCCCGGTCCCGACGTCCTCAGCTGCGACTTCGATCGCCCGTAGACCGGACTGTGACAGAAAGTGCATCATATCTGAGTTGGTTCAGCTCCTGTTCTAGAAATAATGGACCCATCCTGGAGAAATAGCTGCATAAGAGTGTGCCAATGAACACACTCACACATTCACTAAATGTTGTTTAACAAGAAGTTGTACTCCTGACCACAGAAACATAAAAGTTTTCATTTATTCTTAACGGTGCTCAACTTACAAATATAGTGAAGGTAAACAAAAACAACAACCCACCTATATTACAATTAGAAGACCTGCAAGCATAAAATATATTAAAACAGCATTCTTGCAACCTCTATAAAAGATACGGCTCTGCTTGTCATTATCTCTGGCTTCACCTTCCTGCCTTCTGCCCAAAAAAGCCCAATTGGGAAGAGCCATCACTGCAAGTCAAGCTGTTTTTCCCTGATTGGTGGATTCCTTCCGTGCCTGGCCAGATAGCTTTGCATTTCCAGAGATAAAAAGAGTCTGGATGTTCTTTGTATCTCCCTCGAGTGCCTTTGATGAACTGTCTGGGATGACCCATGCTGTTTTGCATGTCAGCGGAAGCTCTTTTTTTGTAAGTCGCTGCCTTAGATAGTGAATATATGTATTCTTTCTTTTAAGTCAGCTTCCTACTCTTTCAACTCTCTTAAATCAATCAATATTGTTGATTGTAACTTGGGAGTGTCGAGTTTTCTTTCTGAGCTACAGGAGCTGGTCTAGCTCATGTTGCCTCAGCAGTCACTCATGTTCTAAGCCGAGATGTGGAGTCTCGGAGAGGCAGAATTTTTCCATCTCCGCCATATTAAGCAGTTGGTCCCTTACCTTTCTCGCCCTGATCTGGCCACAGTGATCCATGTGACGGTCACCTCCAGGCTTGGTTATTGTAACTCGCTCTACGTGGGGCTGCCCGTGAAGCTGACCCAGAAACTCCAGCGGGTGCAGAATGCCACGGCGAGGCTCCTTACGGGGTCCTTGCCACGGGATCATATTCATCCAGTGCTTTACCAACTGCACTGGCTCCCGGTGGAGTACAGGGTCAGGTTTAAGGTGCTGGTTTTGACCTTTAAAGCCCTATGTGGCCTAGGACCCACGTATCTACGGGACCGCCTCTCCTGGCATGCCCCACAGAGGACCTTAAGGTCCACAAATGACAACACCTTGGAGGTCGCAAGGTGGTTAGATTGGTTTCAACTAGGGCCAGGGCCTTTTCAGTACTGGCCCCGACTTGGTGGAACGCTCTGTTACAAGAGACTAGAGCCCTGCAGGACTTGACATCTTTCCGCAGGGCCTGCAACACAAAGCTGTTCCACCTGGCCTTTGGTTTGGACTCAGTCTGACCCTTATGTTTCCCTCCCCTTATGGTTTTGATTTATGGGCTACTATTATAATGAGGCTGCATTTTAAATTATATTTTAACATGTAGTTTAAATTAATTTTATAATGAATTATTTTAGAGTGTTGTTTGTGCTGTACTTTTGTACTGTTTTGTTGTTGTTAGCTGCCCTGAGCCCGGCTTCGGCTGGGGAGGGCGGGATATAAATAAAATTTATTATTATTATTATTATTATTATTATTATTAAATGGTTTTTGTTTTGTAATTTTACTGGTGTCAGCCATCCTGAGCCTGGCTCTGGCCAGGGAGGGTGGGGTAAAATTAAAAATTTATTATTATGATGATTATTCCCCTCTCCACTAAAATTCCACATTGGGACACAGAAGATTCAACACAGGGACTTAGGAAACTTTTTTTTATACTGAGTCAGGCCATTGGTCCATCTAGTTCAGTATTGCCTACATTGATTGGCAGCAGCTCTCCAAGATTTTGGGCGGGGCTTCCTCCTAGCTTTACCTGGAGATGCCCAGGATTGATTCTGGAACCTTCTACATGAAAAGGAGAAGCTCTATCACTGAGCTACAGCCCTTCCTCAAACTAGTCTGCAAATGTAGATCTCCTTCCTTCTTTAGCCTAAACGTACTAAATAGAGTACGTTTCTGAGCACAATCCAAAGTGTTGGTGCTGACCTTTAAAGCCCTCAATGGCCTCGGCCCAGTATACCTGAAGGAGCATCTCCACCCCCATCATTCAGCCCTGACACTGAGGTCCAGCTCCGAGGCCCTTCTGGTGGTTCCCTCACAGCGAGAAGTGAGGTTACAGGGAACCAGACAGAGGGCCTTCTCGGTAGTGGCGCCCACCCTGTGGAACGCCCTCCCATCAGATGTCAAGGAAATAAACAACTATCTGACTTTCAGAAGACATCTGAAGGCAGCCTTGATTAGAAGAGGTATTAATGTTTGATGTTTTATAGTGTTTTTAATATTTTGTTGGTAGCCACCCAGGGTGGCTGGGAAAACCCAGCCAGATGGGCAGAGTATTAATAATAATAATAATAATAATAATAATAAGGCAAAACAGTGGTGGCTCTACCCAGGACTAAATAACCGAAGGTGTTGCAGTCTGTCATACTTCATGGGATAGGTATGAGTGTGCCCTTTTTGTTACAGATATAACTGGTATTAAGCAAGATTTACTCCATTTTGGATTGTGGTCAATGTGGTATGTGAGCGAGAGTGGAGTGTTTTGAGATTGGTGGCTGAATGAACTGACCCACTGCATCACATAAATGTGTGTTCTCAAGATTTCCCATTCAGTCATATTCTCTCTCACACACACATACACATGACTGGGTTTAACCTTTCACCCTCAAATGTAGCCCATCACCTTCTAAATAATATTTATTACCCAAAAAGGCCATGTCTAACTCTTAAACACAACAGAAATGTCCTGCACTTTTTATGTCAGTAGTATTATGCATACTTTCCCTTTAAAGGGATGGAATTTGTTCTTTTCCCCCTCTTGCAGTCAGTAATGCTAGGCCAGGAAGAAGCCAGAAATCAAAACCAATTGATAATGACACTTTTAATGCTATACTTCCTCCCATGGAAGCAGCACAATTTCCTTTCCTCTGTCATAAAATCACTTTAATGGGTTGACTTGGAAGGAGCTGCTTTAAAATCTGCATTCATCCACCCACCCTGAAAAGCTTCGCCTTAAGGGTAAATACCCAGAATTTCAAAATGGTTCTATCCCTATCCACACATTATTATGTGTAGGACATATCCATGTTTAGGGGGGAGTAGGGCCACACGCTTTTTCCCGTTTCACAAGCAGTGAATATTATAACGACAACTGCTCTGTCTCACTGTTCAGTCAGGGTGCATGATGAACAAGCCCCAGGCTATATTTTCATTTTAAGGGTTCAGCCTGCAAACTTACAGAGTGGAATATTGGTACAATTCCACTAGTTGCTGTGGTAAAGGAGGTTTATTGACCATGATTAGCTCCTGTCCTGAATATTACTACTTTCGTTCTGCAAAGGCAGAAATCCCCAAACTCGGCCCTCCAGCTGTTTTGGGACTACAATTCCCATCATCCCAGACCATTGATCCTGTTAGCTAGGGATGATGGGAGTTGTAGTCCCAAAACAGCTGGAGGGCCAAGTTTGGGGATGCCTGTGCAAAGGTATAATGAAATAGATAATGATTTTATTTCAGTACTTTTACTGTTATTTCCCCAGGCAGTGTCAGGGGCTGGACTGAGGAGGAATGGTGGGGACCGCCACCCTCCTTCTCCTCAACCTTCCTGAGAACAGGAGGACAGTATAGATTTAGAACAGTGGTTTGCAGAGGGGCATAGTTCAGAGGCTGCAGAGGGGAGAAGCTGGGAAATATTGGGAGAGGAACAGCAGGAAGAAGCAGCAGCACCAGGAGAGAGAGAGCTGACAGACTCAGTGTCTTTGAAAAGCATTCCTGACCCTCCTTCTCCCAGGACCAGGCAGGCATTGAGGGTAGTAGAACAGAAAGCTCAGAGGCAGAAAGCTCAGATTAGCTGACGCAGGGATGACGTAGAATAGGAGAGATGGAGGGGGTGGGACTTTACTTGGAGCAACGCCATCATTTAGGGAAGGCTGCATTCCTTCGTCACTCTCTGTGAAGAAATTGCTTGGTAAGAACTTTTATCGTTTCCCTGATTCTGAGCTGCCACCATGGGAGAGATCTGACTCCCCGTAGCCTGACAGGCAGGTGCATTGTGTGACCCATGAGAGTGGCAAAATAGCAGGACTGTACAATGGCGAAGGGATAAAATCAGGCCAAATCTTTTTTGACAGCAGCAGGCAGGGCAAGCGTTGGCATGACACTGGGTCCCAGAATAACGTCATCATTCCACAAGTTGATGGAATGGATCCACCGAATTTGGACCACGCCAAACCCTTTCTATGAGAGTCGGTCAGTGTTGAACCTTGCTGTGGTGCAAGCCAAGCAAGCAAGGTCTCACTGGGCAACTGGGGTGCAGAGTCCTACCAAGCAGATACCCCAACACCGAGCTTGGGGGTGCCGTGACCAAACCTTCCTTCAGGCCCCTTATGGCCCCTCCCATACCATGTTCATCCTACCTAATGCCATTTCCACCCTCATACAAACAACATTCTTCACCTAGCAAAGGAAATACATAATTTCACTGAGTGAAAGGTGTGTGTAGGGGGCAAACCCCCAACCAAGCGTCAATCAGGTTGAGAGAGGAAAATTCATTTCTGGGTCTGTCAACCAGCGACCCCAAATTGCTCAGTGAAGGCTCTGGGCAGGCAGGAAGCTCTCAAGACAAAATGGCCCTGAACTCCAGGGACAGCCACCTCATACAGGCTTTCCCCTCCCCACGGCAGCAAGGGCTCATGGGACAGCTTTTTCCCATGAGCCTATTGCACAGAGAAGATACTGGGCAAAACCTTGCCCAGTATTTTGCTGCAAACTATGGGCCACAGCATCACCGGGCAAAGGCGTCCCATGCTTATTGAGCATGGAACAGGGTTTTGATTCACTGTCCTTTACAGTGGTACCTCGGGTTAAGTACTTAATTCGTTCCAGAGGTCCATTCTTAACCTGAAACTGTTCTTAACCTGAAGCACCACTTTAGCTAATGGGGTCTCCTGTTGCTGCCACGCCACCGGAGCACGATTTCTGTTCTCATCTTGAAGCAAAGTTCTTAACCCGAGGTACTATTTCTGGGTTAGCAGAGTCTGTAACCTGAAACGTATGTAACCTGAAGCATATGTAACCCGAGGTACTACTGTATTGTTTGTTTATCTGACTATAGTTTAATCTGTTGTTCATTGCTTTTGGGGCTTTGGGCCAAAAAACAATACGCATATCATCAACAATAATATAGAAAATTAAAGCAAGCTATTGTACAGAATAGCTCAAATCCTTATTGTTAGTCAGGGGCGGCTTGTCTTCGGCTGCTTAGGTGATCAAGGTTTATGCCTTGATATTGTGCTCATGTTTTCCTCCCCATCATCTGAAAATTAGCCATAGATGTATTGGCTTGCAGGTTGGACCAAGTTGTTTCCGTCATTTGCAAACTGGCTTTATATATATTATGGGCTGGACAGAGTTAAAGATTAGATAAGTGAGAAACGGAGAGAAACAGAAGTTGACAGATTCATACATCCCAAGCCAGTTCTGTGAGTGTTCGAGGCTTTCAGGGGCAGTTGGAAGTTGTCCAAGTAGACAACTTGCAACTGAGAGCATACAAGACTTTGAATGGCTCAAAGGGATCTGCTTATGCAGCAGAAGTGATCTCTTCAGGGAGCTGGTGACCAATGAAGCCTTTTGTAGGAGGACCAGGCCTGAGCTGTGTAAGCTCCATGTCCTGAATGAGTCGGCTGACTGGATAAAGGACCTTCATTTTATCTTATAGCCTTTGGCTTCTGTGAGGCTGGGGAAATGGGATTACTGAAGGGGTACCTAGTCAGTCCTGTAGCTGGGAGAACTCCAAATAGAATTCTGGTGGTTGTCCCCCTTAGCTAATAGCCTGAATCGAATCTTCATCCAAGTCCTGTGATGCATCATGGAAGGTCTTCAGGTCTCAGGTCATGACACCTAGTTGGGCCGGATCGCAGTTGTAGTACAACAATATCTGGAGGGCTATAGGTTCCCCATTCTTGCTCTAAATTAACCCTTCAATTGCTTATTTAGGCCAAAAATGTAGATTTGAATTTGGCTTCTGGGCTGTAGCCCTGCACTTGGCTCTAACATATCCTGCAAATTCCTGAAACTTAGTTGTTTTCCATCCCAAAGTTTGTATGTGTGCACCAGAGAGTAATGTTGACGAAATGTGTGAAGTGCATGCGGAAGTCTATTAATAAGGTCATGCAGTTGAAGTGATGGGAATAGAGATGTTCAGCACTTGGCCCAGAGCCCTACTCTCAAGCCAACAGCTGCTGCGGCTGCTGTTGCCTTTTCATCAATATCCTCAAATGTGAATTTTCACATTCCATGCAAAATTAGCCTTCGGAATGTCACCAACTTCATTATGAGGCATTCTAAGCCTCCTGAAATGGAGTAGGAAGTCAAAACTTTGAGGGCACCAAACCATGTAAGGTGAATTTATGAGAACAATGAATATTTATTCTCCTGCCCTCACATTTCATGTTCCTGAGTCTTTGGGTATTGGTCTCTATGGACCTTCAATGCATCTGCTATGGATCTCGGACATCTGTCATTGTAGGATTTTTATAGCAGAAACAATAAACCTCTGCCATGAACGCCAGAGAACTCTCTCCCCAAAACTGCAAGGGATCTTTATATTTATTTCCCTGATTGTTAAAAACGATTAACTGCCATAAACCTTTAATTCAAAACGAACACACAAGCAAGTATGTATTACATTTACAACCCTGCTCTTCCTGAAAACTCAGACTGGCAACATGCAAGTTGCAGGACATCTTTACAGAACTTTTGGCATATTTTTTAACTTACTCAATGCCTGGTCAATGAGGATATTTAGAAGGGATACTCTGGATCATAATCTATTGGAAGGTTCTGAGCTCAGGTTGCCAGGCAAATGCCAATTTGTTTAAATCTGGACTACAACTCCATCTCCTGACAATTGGCTGTGTCAGCTAGGGTTTATGGGTTCGGCAGATCCAGTGCATTGAAACTGAATGTAGCTGCTGTAAGTCCCATGGTGTTGTTCTACTGGTTCCCTATTTCTCATTTTCTACCTGTTTGAGGGCAAAAGGAGTGCCCCGCAGGCCACAGCAAGGATGAGGAAGGACACAAGTGAGGGAAACTAGACAGAAAGCCCAATTAGTGTCTTGAACAGCTTCTCAAAGATGCCGTATTATGGAGAGAATCCCACAGGCAGCTCATATCCCCACCACGCAGAGTGTCAAGGCTTGAGTCAAGCCTTTAAGTGACCGTAGCTCATTGGTTGTCAAGGCTTCGGGAAAGCTATTTCTCCCCCAGTTGCAGCGAGAGCAGAGAAAACAAGGCAGAGTCCTTCTTAATGAGTTTTATTCAATAGTGAGAGACAAAAGAACGCAACAAGCCTTAACAATGGCGTTGCTCCAAACTGGGCTCCTCCTCCCTCCTTCCTAGCAACAGCACCGTCCCTTATGGTGGCCACCTGTGGTCCTATGTCTCTGATTCTGTTGTTCCTGCACTCTTAATAAACGCCAAGTTCTGGGAGAAGGGGGATCAGAAATACTTCCCAGTGACAACATGTCATCTGGCTGCCCTGCCACAGTTCCTCCCTCCTCCTCCTCTTCTTAAAAAGGTATTTTTATTAAGCAATTTCAACATAACAAATTATCAAACCATATAATCACATACGTTATTTCGCCCCTTTCCCCCCATCCCCTTCAATCCCTCCCCCCCCAAGGACTTCCCTCAGCTCCTCTCTCTGATTTCTCTGCACACATTATTCTCTGCATGTTATTAAATTGTACATATAAATTTGTGGATGTTTATTCAAAACCTGCCAAGGAGTCCAGTTCATTTTGTTGTCTTTTTAGATCATTTGTAAAAAGTTCCCATTCTTCCTTAAAGTCACAGTTGTCCTTACCACGCAGTTTATATGTCAATTTAGCCACTCTGCATAGCTCATCAATTTTTCTTGCCGCTGTTCTTTTGTTGGGATTTCCTCATTCTTCTATCCTTGTGCTATCAAGACTCTTGTTGCTGTTGTAGCATACATAAATAAATTTGCTTTTCTTGGCAAGTCTTGTCCTACAATCCCTAACAAAAATGCTTCTGTTTTTTTTACAAATGTCATTTTGAACATTTTTTTCAATTCATTGTATATCATTTCCCAATTTTTAAAAACTTCTCTACATTCCCACCACATATGATAAAAAGTCCCTTCTTTTTCTTTACATTTCCAACATAAGTTTGACCCGGTTTTATACATTTTTGCTATCTGTACTGGTGTGATATACCATCTGTCCATCATTTTCATATAGTTTTCTTTCAAAAGAGAACAATCTGTAAATTTCAAATCTACTTTTGTTTGAAATTTACAGATTGTTCTCTTTTGAAAGAAAACTATATGAAGCCGCCCAGAGTGGCTGAGGAAGCCCAGCCAGATGGGCGGGGTATAAATAATAATAATAATAATAATAATAATAATAATAATAATAATAATTAATAATACAGTTT